ATTTACCTGTTCATGTGTCATACACGATTGATAGCTCATAATTCTTGTAAATTTGGCACTTAAGATCTTTGATTCATCAGGCTTGGCTTACAGCAACATTTGCATTTTGTGATTTTGGTGTCCTCTTAGTTTCATCAGTGCTGAACTGTCGAGCATCATCAATAGTCCTGTTATATTGTATTGAGTGATTCCTTATGTTATTGAGGGGAAATGCCTCACAGACTTCGATTGTTTCCAGTAAATTTGTTTATTATCTACATGATTTATTATCTTTTATTCTCTTTTCGGACCACATAAATGCATCTTCTTTGGTATAATGTAGCAGGTGGAACTAGGAAATCTATCACAGCTTGTCACACGTCAGAATTGTGTCATGGCATGCTCTCCTTTTAAGTTAGAGTTGTTATCTTGCTCTCTCTTATCTGTTTTTCGGAAATAGAAGTGAAGTTATGGTTTTGCAAGTCTTTGTGCAGTTCGTTTGAGGCATTTCACCTCAGGCCTTGTTGCATTGCATCGTTGAGCATCCTAGATTCTTACATTCGGGAGCCATAGAAACTCAGATGGTGATTATAGCAGCATGTTGCTGACTTGAGCTGCACAATCTGAATGGGTGCTGTCAGATATGATACTTCACTCACAGATGTAGGATTTGTTTGCCACCAGAGTGCCGCCAATCTTGTAGCTTTCCTTTTTTATTAGCTGTTTGTGACTGCCGAAGAAAATGTTTTAAAAAAAAATGACTGAAGCTTGAAACACTGGGCCATCTTTTGCCACCATTGTGTTGTGCATTTACCGTGTTTCTGTCCAAACAGACGATCTTACCGTTGTCCATCTCCCTTTCAGGCCACCGGACGCGGTAAACGCCGACCTGCTGATGGCGCAAGAGCTGTGCAGCAGATGGGTCATCGAACAACCTACGATCTTGGGAGCAGTGGCAAGAAGCGGAAAGCAGCCGCAGATGCCTCTTGCCATCCGAGCAGAGCAGCAGCACACCCCCGGAAGGTCGCCGCAGCCTCCAACCTGAACGGCGGCATGACCGACAGCTACCTGCAGAGCTCTTCACAGGCCATAGAAGACGCCGAATGCTCGGTGGCCAGCTGCAGCGTGAACGACCTGTACCGCCTCGGCAACGGCGGCAACGTTAAGCGGCGTCGGGACGCCGCAGGGTGCCTCCCTGACGACGCCATGTCTACGTGCCCGTGCACGCCCGGCGACAGGGAGGGGGGCGCCGACCACGACGACGACGAGGAGGCCGCGGCGGGCGTGCACGGGCTGGAGCTGGAGGCGTACCGGTCGACGATGCGGGCGCTGTACGCGTTGGGGCCGCTGACGTGGGAGCAGGAGGCGCTGCTGACGAACCTGCGCCTGTCGCTCAACATCTCCAACGAGGAGCATCTGCTCCAGCTCAGGCGCCTACTGTCCTCGTGATCGTTGGCACTTGGCATTGTCAGCCACTCTGGTCCTGGTCTTCTCTGTCGTCTCCAGCGTCAGGCGTCGGCCATGCACGTCGGCTTCGCCGGGCGAGCGCCGTCCTGTTCGGCGAGCCTCTTGTTTTTACTGTTCTTGCTATTACAGTACATGGTTCTCCACCATCTTTGTCTAGTCCAGGTAGAATCCTATGTTTACCAGTGTCGACTCGAGATACGGATGTATACAGGGGACTCGGAGAGAGACGCCTGCATCTTTGTCATGCCTTGTGTATCCTTGATATATTCTTGCTTGTAAATGCAAACATGTTTACAAGTTTTTCTTTGAGGGACCATATATTTACAAGTTCTTAATTTACTTGTGGTTTACTGTCTGTTTATTTGTTCTTTAGGGAAAAACTAAACGACGAGCCGAGTGATTTGTGGAGGCTTTGCTCACTCTATTTTTGCTATATTGCTGTTCATAACACCACTGTCGTATTCCCCAACTCCGGTGGGGCTAGGTGTTCGGGCTTGAAATGGGAGGGTTGTCCGGAGAAAAGGTGTTCGAGTTTGAGATGAGAGAGTAGTCCAGAGAGAAAAGAGTTGAGTATGCAATTATGCATGGTCTTTATGGAATATCTATAGACACTTATCAGAAATTCACGACATTTGTGAATGTAAAATCATTTAAAACATTAAAAAATATAGTTTTTTTTCAACTATTTCTCCTTTTCTTTGCATCAATTACATATGTTGTATGATTCTACATTCATCGGCTAATAGGTAGATTAATTTGTTAGCCAAACATATAACTACTCACTCGGCTCAAGCCTCTGCTATTAACTAGCTCAAACACCTTAGGTAACTAAAATACTTGTTAGCTAAATAATTAGTCAACTTTAACTAATTTAAATTACTTTTTAGTTCTAGGTAGTAAGCTGATCAAAAAGACCCTGAGCATACTTAGAGGCTACCATGTTTTAGCGGCATGGCTAGCGCCCGGACGCCCGCGCCTGCCCCACCTCCTGCGCAAGCTGCTGCGCCTGCCTGCCCGTCCTGCACCTGCTGCTGCGCTTACACGACATCTGCGACTCCGCGCGCTCGTCTGTCGAGCTCTTACTGCCACAACAAGATGGAGGGAAGAGAATGGAGGCAAGCGAGAGGAGAGGAGAAGGCGAGGCGCGCCACGCGAGGTAGGAGGCGAAGCCTAGCGGCAAGCTGCTGTCTCACAGGCACCGGCGCCATTGCAGCATGTGCAACACCCAATCTACTTTTGAAACATCCAAATGAAATATTTATAACATACGTCTGAAGACAGATGAAGCACTTAAAACATGAGATTCAAACATGCGTGTATAACCTTTTGCAACATGTGCAACACCAAGATCAACTTTTGAAACATCCAGATAAAATAGCAATATATGTCTGAAACACCTGAAACATAGGCTTGTAACATGCATATCTTTTGCAACATCCAGATGAAACACTTGAAACATACGTCTGAAATACCTGAAACATTTGAAAACATACGCTTGCAACATGTGTATATTATCAATGCAACATATGGAACACCTCAGATATATTTTTGCAACATCCGGATCAAACAATTGAAACATAAGTCTAGAACGCCTGAAACACTTGAAATTGGGCATCGCCGACGACCCCGGCCTAACTGGTGGCGAACTATGGTAGCCAGCAAGCTCGGGTTAGGGGGCGTCATCCCAACGTACACCTTCGCTACAAGACGTCGGCCCATCACTCCTCTGACGATTCTCCTGCGCGCTGCCCAGGCTCGCGCCTGTCGGCGTGGCTTCTCCAGCGCTGCTGCTGCTTGGCCGTAGTTGTCCAACGCCTTCCTCTCGTAGGAGATGGGGCGCAGCACGACCGCCTATGGGGTGCGGTACGGTGGAGGAAGGGCACGGCGCAGCGGGGGATGGGCGTGCGGTCGGGGAAGGCAGGAAGGGGGCACGGCGAGGGCGGAGTGGGGCGGGCGTACGCGCGATGACGCTGTGACACCGATGTGAGTGCAAGTGGAGACCTAGAGATACTGTTGAACCTGTCCGCAGGCAAGAAGGCACGTATGCGATGGACGACCGACCATGTGCAAGCATTTACGATGTTTTAGCTAAGGTGGCGGTCCTCGTTCGGTGCGCACCACTTTTGCTCACAATGACCGGTAGTAACGTAGATTTTATTCGGTCGCACTGTTTTTCCTGACCGGTAGCGGCATAGCGCAACGTCTGGGAGTCTCGTGAGGAGTTTGGCAATCGATTCGCTTGGCAGATATTTGATGAGAATTCCTTAGCAAGGGTGTTGCACGTGCCAAACTTTCTGTACCCAAAGTATGATATAAAGATTAATGTGTGACTTTGATTTCTTTCGGCTGTCATCTAAACAAGTCCTACTAATATATAATGTCCTGTGTTAGGTAGGTCTTTTGCTCCGGCTTCACAAAACTGGAAAATGTTAGGTAGGTCTTTTGCTCCGGCTTCACAAAACTGTTTTTCCAGTTTCTCTTACCAAGCACGTCGGGATGAAACAGTTTCTTAAAAGCTTGTTTCCAGCTTCACTCACATGCAGAGTTCCCCGGGTGAAGTTTGAAATACTGGTTTCTATTATCTTTCTCTCTGCTATCTTCACTGAGAATCTGTTTTATCGAACGTTTTTTAAAAACAGTTTTAGCTTCACTGATCAAACAGCTCTATGTAACTGAAATAAAAAAAAACTAATTTATTAGTGAAGCTGAGCTGTACCAAACAAGTCCTAAATCTTAATGTGCGACTTTGGCTTCTTTCAGCTGCCATCTAAACCAGGGTGGTGCTGATTGTTTTTTTTTTGTGGAGTTTCATCCAAATTTGAGCTAATGCTAGCTAATAGTAATAGTTTAGCTTACTATAACCTGTTATTTTACTAACAACTATTTCGTTAGCGAGAAAAAACCAACAAATTGCATCTTATAGTTAGCTAGCTAATTTTTACTAAGAGCTATTAGGTAGCTAACTATTAGCAGCTGATAGATTCAACAGGGTCTTATACTAACCGGAGAAATTGAAGTCGCTCAAGCTAATACAAGCGTCCAGTTGTTGCCGAGGGGAGAAAAAGAACTCCGTGTCCAGTGACGCTGAACACGCAGCACGGCAGCAGCCTGTGAAGCACTGATCTAACTGGAAAACAGTAAACACCTAGACGACAGACACGTACGCACGTGTCGCAAGACGCCACCTCCTTCGGCAAGCAGGACACGTACTCCAGCTCGTCGCCGAACGTGTCAAGTCGCCGGCCGTATAAGGACTTCACCGATCGTGCGAGTGTTCCAGCCGATCTCCCAAAAGGCTTGTTTAGATGCGAAAAATTTTGCAAAATGAGTAATATAGCGTTTTTGTTGTTATTTGATAAATAGTGTTCAATTATAGTCTAATTAGACTTAAAAGATTCGTCTCGTGGATTTCGTCTAAACTGTATAATTAGTTTTATTTTTTATTTATATTTAATGCTTCATGCATGCGTCCAAAGATTCGATGTGACGGAGAATATAAAAAATTTTGCAAAATTTTTTGCAACTAAACTGGACAGGAAGAGCAGAGCGCGACGATGCCGGTCAGCCTGGTGACGACGTCACTCCTCCCGCCGTGCCGCGCCGCCGCGTCATCGTCGGCACGCGCCATGCGTTCGTTCGCGCGCCGGCCGTCGGCTTCCTCCGCCGGGCTCGTCGGCGGCGTGCGCTGCCACGCCGCGTCTCCGCCGCCGCCGGAGTTCCCGGGCAGGACGACGCCGGCCGAGGTGCCTGGCACGGACCGCCCGCCGTCCGAGGTGCCGGGGACGAACCGCCCGCCGGACGAGTTGCCGAGCATCGACACGCCGCCGGGCGTGGACGTGCCGATGCCGGGGCGGCCAGTGCCCGGGCCGGAGCTCCCTGGCCCGGCGATGCCGTCGCCGCTGGCGCCGGAGCTCCCGACCATGCTGCCCAACCCCGACGTCCCGCCGCCGCAGCTCCCAGAGGTGGACCCGCCCAGGCCGCCGCTCGAGGTTGTCCCGCCGCAGCCGCCGGTCGCCGCTACGGTGCCGCCTCCCTTTGTGTAGCTCCACCGTCCGTCCACGGCGCGGGTCGGGGCAGGTGGACAGGGCGAGCGGCGTGTGGAGGAACCACGTAGGAGTGTACAAAGTTGTTAGCATGATGTTCACGGTTGTACAAGTTTGCTTTCAACAAGGAGCTACCAAAGTCGAGAAAGGCCGGTGCCGTAGCTTAGCTTGGCGTGATCTGTGATCATGATTCATGAGCTCGTGGCAATGGCGCTCGCTGAGCGCCTGAGCCAGACCAAGAATTCATTCAACTAGGACATGCCCAGGCGCCCAGCCTAGCTCATAATATACTTCCTCTGTCCAGAAAAAAAACGTAATTATAAAAAACGTGCCGGTCAAACTATTTCAAATTTAATGAAATTTATATAAAATAATATTAGCATTTATACCTATAAATAAATTTATTATAAAAATATATTCTACAACTAATCTTATGATATTTATTTTATTTCATGAGTGTTAGGATTTTTTATATAATTTTAATTAAAGTTTAAATCGTTTGACCGCGGAGCAGTATGCCAGTGCCACCCGATTGTTTGGTCCGAGCGCCGGGACTCGCAGCTCGAATTTGCCGTCTCGTCCGCACCCCTCCCTTGATTCGTGGTCGTGCTTGGGCCTGTGCCGGTTTCAGCGGATCCGGCCTGGGCTTTGAATTAGCAGCTGTGCACTGTGCTGCTCATTATGGGCCTCATCGCTTAGAATTCGCTTTGGGCTATTACTCTGCCCACGTCCGAACCGAGCCCAGGTGGCATGGGAGTTTCCGTGGGCCAAGCGCGGGGAGGCCCGCGAGGCCGAGCAAAGAGGGCAGACGCCCAAGCGACGCGAGTCGGCGCAGCAGGTTGAAAAGCGTGGCCGTCCTTTCCTGTCCAATCCCGTTGGCGGCTGCCGCGGCGCCGGCCCGAGGGCTACGGCGGGCGGCAGCGCCGTTCGAAATTTTGGTGCGCCCTTCCATCTGGCGCCCGGGGCAGCGGCGCGGCGGCGATCTCGCTGCTGCACGCTACTACTACCTGACGATCGTGAGTACAGGTGCGCCTGCTGAAATAAATCCTCCGTCTGAACAACTACTCTACTTCTAGCCATGGATGCTCCCTCAAGTTCTAGAGGTCACGGATCACGGGACCATGTCTTCGCTGTAGTAGCCCCTTTGCGCGGGTTTGAATCATCGCGGCTAGGTAGTTCAACAACGTTTGGCGCTACAGAAAAGGTTAGCAGAGCGATCGTACGCAGGCCGTTTGGACTGTGGTACAAGAGCCGCATTCATGGACGAACGCGCCGCACAGGGCTGCCGGCTGCGCTCCTCCTTTGATGGCCGATGCAGGCGACCGTAGTAGGCGCAGGACCACCACCAGCAGCACTCCGCGCGCGCTCACGCACAGGCACAGCACGCGCGAGGAGACACGCGCACGCCATTGGCAGCGGGAACGCCGGGAAGGCACCGCGCACACGCCGCATACGCATGACAGCATGTTGCTGGCGCCAGATGCTAGCCGCCAGATGTTGTTGGGGGGTTTAAACTACCAAGCTGCAACCTGATCTTGTTGGGGGTTTAAACTGTCCCAAGATATGCAACTCCTGATCTTTGTGCGCGCGGCAGACTGGTGACTTTCATGGCTAACTACGTCCCATGCTGGTGATATTTTCGAGACTCCTGCTTTTCTTCCAGTGCGCGCGGCAGACTGGTTAGCAATTACTTTCATGGCCTGCTGGCTAAATTCATAGTACTAGTCTGCTTAAATGGAAGTAGAAATAAAAACAACATATACTACAATACAAATTTGGCCTCTCGTTGGTATGCTCGCCCAGCAACAAATCCTTGCCTTCAGAGGCATCGAGATGAGCTTGTCCAGGTTCCAAACTTCAGCTCATCTCCGATTTCTTGCCTTACCTTAGCTCGCCCACCATTTCCAAACTTCAGCAAAGAAATCAAACCGCTCCGTACATTCTTGCTTGGCTGCTAAGACGATTTGCAGTTTAAGTTAAAGATAAATGCATAAATGCAGTTGGTCATACACCGATTTAAAATATGTTTGGCGAAATTAGGACAATCTAATTAGTTTATCATTTTAACTGATTACCTTGCCTCAATGTTATATAGGAGTATTTATTTCTAAATGGAGGAAGTACCTCTGGCTGAAACTTGGCTGAGCTGCAAAACACTGTTTTGACTGGATTGTTGTGAGAAAAAAACATTGTCCTGGCTAAAAAAAGAAGCCGAATAAACCAAATTTAAGGTAAGCCGAATGGGGACAATACATTTGTCAAATTAGATATGATAACTCATTCTCGTTGCAAAAATCTATATAGTTTATTATTTTTACCGATTGCCTTGTCTCAAACGCTATATATTTGTTTTCAAAACGGAAGAAGTACCTCTTTGATACATTTACCAAGTTAGATTAATATCAAAATATTCTCAATGTGAAAATTAACGAACCTGGAACTAAAGACAAATGTGTTTGTTTTGACCTTTGACATTTTTACATGCCAGTGTGGTATGATTCTGTATTCATGAATTCTTCTGTTGGAGTTGCATATGGCTTCATGTTCTTTGTTTTTTGTTTGAACAAACGTAGAAGCGAGATCGAGTAAAGAACAAAACTGTGGTAACTGGTTACTGGCTGGTGAAAGTATCTAGCACTGTTCCCAGATGTGTGCAGTGCAAAAGCCTTCACCTGGGCCTGTACAAAAGCTCCAAAGTACAGTAGAGAAACGTAGAGCTCGTTACATTTTGGCAAAACAATGCATTCCCTTGTAAACAGTACCACCATTTTGGTGCGGATCCAGACTTGCGTTGCATTCTTTGGTCCTGTCAAAGTACAGGTAGTGAACAGTGACAGTCTCGCTCGAGCTGCTGTCACTGCTCTCACATACGAGTACCACCACCTCCCCTCCAGCTAGCTAGCCCTCCAAAGTGAACCTGCACTGCACCCTGGGTGAGCCGGGAGTGGAGAGTACGCTGACGCGTCTTTGGATGTGAGAGGTGAGGAGCACAAGTACGCATGCATGCATGCCTAAGAGGACCACCTAAGCTCTGCTAAGCATCTCTAGGCCTGCACCTGCTAAGAGATCTACTAGATCAGTGCAGTACTGAACTACTGCATCTGCGTACAGTATGGTGCTTTGAACCGAATTTTTATATAATTTGCTACTGACCATGGACAGCGGTGTAGGTGGACCACAGGCAGGCTTATATAATTTAGGCCGTTTACATGCGAAATTTTTTGGCTTTTGACTACTGTAGCATTTTCGTTTGTATTTGATAAAAATTATTTAATTATGGACGGTGATTCGTCTCGTTACTACTGCACCTCTTTAATGCTCCAGTAGATTTGATGGACCTTAAAAAATTTGGATTTTGGGTGGGATTTAAATAGGGCCTTAGATCATGGAGTGTACGTAGAGTACCATAGATTCAAAGGGTATATGGAATGTCTAATCAAGCAGCACGCCTGTCGTGTTGTTATTCGATCTTTTCAGGATGAAATTTAAGCCTCCTCTTACCAGTCAAAAGCGGAAGTGCTGCGCCATGCAGTGGCCCGCGGCCCACGCGGCCTTGCGCACGCCGAAGGGGAACGCCGCCGCGGCTCTACCGGTGAGCTGCTCCGGCGGTGAGCGGCTCGCTTCCAGCGAGCTGCGTCATAAGGTTGGCGTACAAGAAGGTGAGGCAGCACAGATCCTTCCGTGACGGTTAGATCCTAAGAAGGTGGTGAGCTAACGCTCAAGCCTTCCGTAATCGAAGTCGAGAAGCTAGTTGCTTTCAAGGGCACGAGCCTCTGGCACCTGCAGCCGCAGCTCCTCAAATGCCTCATTGATCACGCGTCGAGGCTGGTGGAGTGGAGAAGTCGGGTGATGGCGGGAGCCTGCTCCAGCTCCTCCTCCATGGTGATGATGAAATCTAGGCTCCCGAAGCGCACGTGTGCGCCCGGGACCAAACTGACGCTGAGGTTGGCCATCCGAAGCTTGGAAATGACGTCGAGACGCGCAAAAGACCCCTAACTGACGCGCCAACTGTCGGTGTTTCGAGTCACCAACTATAAAATTTCTAGTTTGCGTGTCTGGCTCGGATAATTTGCAAGAGTGACACGAGTGTTATACTGGTTTGGGCAAAATGTCCCTACTCCAGTCGACGAGCTGCTGCTCGTATTCCTTGCATAAAGATGTTTGCAGTAGGGGTTAGAAACAGACGAGAGAGGGACGGGCTCCCAAGTCTCCGGTGTGTGTGAATGCGATAAGCGTGGAGGTGCGTGAGTGTGTTTCTAGATGGCCCTGTCTCCTCCTTTTATAGCTTAAGGAGGAGGCGGGTTACATTCAAGGTCAGCCCTCAAGCTTGCATGGAGGATAAGGTGGAAAAGAAAAGATCTTAATCGAAGCTCAGGGACCCACCGCCCACCAAACTTGTTGAGCCTATTGAAGATCGTGGGCTTGAGGCCCTGGAGCACCATGCCGTTGGCGTGCTCAACTTGTTCGTTCGTATGGGGTTGTGCCACGGTGGCCCAGTCGACCCTGATATGGTTGTCATCGCAGAATCGGAGGAATTTCTTCCCTGTGAATTGCGTGCCGTTGTCCGTGATTATAGAGTTTAGGACCCCAAAGCGGTGGATGATGTCCGTGAAGAATTTGACGGCCTCTTCAGACCTGATCTTCGCGATCGGCCAGGCCTCTATCCACTTGGTGAACTTGTTTATGGCGACAAGCAAGTGTGTATAGCCCCCGTGCACCTTCTTGAGGGGCCCGACCAGGTCAAAACCCTAGACCACAAACGGCCATGTGATGGGGATCGTTTGGAGCGCTTAAGCTAGCAGGTGGGTCTACCGGGCGTAGAATTGGCACCCTTCGCAGATGCGAACGATCTGCTCGGCGTCGGCTACTGCGGTGGGCTAGTAGAAGCCTTGTCAGAAAGCCTTGCTGACTAGGGTCCTTGGCCCCGCGTGATGTCCACAGGAGCCACGGTGGATGTCATCTAGTAGCCTCTTTCCCGGCTTGGCCGGGATGCACCGTTG